CGCGGTATCGCTGCCCCGTCGGCTTGCTAATTCGCCCGGATTCAATTGAACATCGATAATAATCGGTTAGTGATCTCCGTACGTTTCGACGCGTCAGAGAATATATGCGCGTGTCACATCGGGGTGTGTCACGACGTCGAAAGAAATAACCGTCCAACGCTGGCTGCAATACCTAGAGATTATGGACTCGCACGTTGATAGCGTCGACGTAAAATCCGACGAAATCCGGGATAATCGATAGTAATGTCGACGACATGGAGCGACGGAGCGTGGTGTAACGGAATTTACCGTGCGAACGGCTTCATCGAGGCTCCATGTCGGATTACACGAGTTTTTGGATCGCGATAAGCGGGGTGAAACAGCGAGCGAAGTTTATTCCGCGCCGCGTCGCTCTTTTCCTATTTGACATAAACGACTTTTCTCCTTTCGATTTTCGCCACGTGACGCAAATTACGCGATCTCGCTTAACATCTCGTCCCGAGAATTAAATCTCGCGAGTCTCCTCTTACACCGTGACTTCGCGGATAAAATAGTCTCCCCGTCTGAGATTTTTTTCAACATTTTTACTAGCAAGGTTATTAGCTCTATTAGGCTTTCTCGAGTCACCGCCGGGCATTTAAATAAAGCGCACGTCGAACGCGCGCGTTCACGACTTCCTGCTCGTGTGTTCAAATGAAAAGCAATGCTGCCTTTTCGCTCGTGCCGAGGAAATAAGATGATAAATGTTTCTCAAGACGGTTTTAATTTGGATTAAAGCTCTGGCGGTTTGACGCCGAGCGTAGTTATGTAATGCTAGTGCCATTAGCCTAATTTCATAATGCGAGTACCGCGGGGACCTTAGACCTCTCGTGCTCTCGTGGAGCGTAGCGGCTCTCTCCAAGGATACGCTGAACTCTCCGTGACGATTCGCTATTAAGCACGAAGTCAGTTAATTATGCATACACGTGTTACGTCTTCCCTGACGTTGCAAGTAGGCGAAACATTATTCCTAGCGTTCTGCGTTTGTCTGTGCGTATAAAATGGAAGTTAATAATCTATAAACTTTGGTACAACGCCCCTCGGATGTCTCTCCCGTCAACCACGAGCGATTTCGCACACGCGAACGTTAAACAATGTGATTTTACAATAATTTGTTATTTAATCCGTCCACTATTATAGGCTTTTCGCGTCGCGATATAACGAAATATTCAGTATTTTGAAACAAAATTGGATCTCTCTTATTGACGCGCCATGGATCATTTTTTTCCCCTTTATGTATCGCGGTACGTTTGTTCAAATCCCCCCCATAGTTTTCCATGCAAAAATTGCATTTTTTTAATCCCATGCGTGAAATAATATTTCCCTATGTAAAAGATTACATCTTTTGTACAGAAAAATGTGATTTTTCCTACGCCATATATAGATATATATTGAAAAAAAACGTATTAAGTTTCGTACATCATTGAATTCGCGAGTCAATTTCGCCCGAAATCGGAAAGGTGATTAGTTTTGTGTGGAATCGCAGCTTCCACGGCTTTTATTCCGGAAAATTATAGAAGAGAATACTTTTTCATCTGCGCGCACGCACGGGGACGCCATTGAAATTCCGCGTTTCGCTCTGCAGAAAAAAAAAACACGTACTCTTTTATCACGACTCCAATCGCTATCGATCACCCCGACTCGTCTACCTTTCTGTTTATTACAGAAAGCAGTCTGATTTGTAATAAAAATCGAGCGGTCATCATTCCGATGCGGACTGTGTGTATCGCGGGGTAAAAGTTGATCTCGAGTCGCCGAAAGAACTTGACGCTAAAAGAGTAATGCGGTGGAGAGACGCGAGGCGCCCCGTGCGAGAGAATTTTGTGAAAAAGCTTGATCGCGGTTTTTGCGACTCAACAGCATCCACCAACGTGGCAAAAAGGACGCGGTAACTTTCGGGACACGTCTCTTTTTATCCGACTGCACATCGCGACGTGTTTGCCAAGCCTTGGCCTTTCACCGTCTTTCGCCTTTTTGGCGCGTGTTTACTCCTCGGCGACGACCGTCCGATCGGATTATGCTGCCGGCGCATCCGGAATCGACGACCGAAACGGACGGGGAGGTCGACGGGCACCGGTGTCGAGGGGCGTTTTCGAGAGATAAGTTTGCGCGAAACCGCACGCCGCCAGCGGGCAGCGACGGCACCGAGAGAGGAAATGCTTTTGGTTTATTAGCATGCCGACAAGTTAACCGTCGAGCCGACGACCCGCGTCGCGACGCGCCGAGCTTTCCACTGAAAGCCAGATAATTGCATGTAGAAGCACCAACGACCGCCTACAGCGTTAACGCGCTCGAAAGCGGACTATCCCTAACATTTGCGTGCCCCTTAATGAACGATCCAACAGCGATCAATATCGGCCGATCGCTCTTTTACGGAGCGGAGAGCGGACTAGATTTATCAAATCAATATGATGAATAAAGCGATGAATATTTCCACATGCCTCTGTGGTCAAATTGGCGAGACGCCCGCCTAGTGAGAAGAAGGTCCAGGTTCAACAAGGGCGTAGCCACTAGCTAAAATGTTGTCCCACCGAGTACATGATTTCATTAGATTTCATACGATTTTATCTGATTACAAATAATTTCATCTAATTGCAAATAGTTTTTTTATATGCACGTTTAAATAAAAATAGGCGACGTTGTTAAGAGCTGTTAGATTTTCTCAAAACATTATATCTTTTTGATTTTATTAATAAGCATTTGCTTATAGAGGTAATTTCAATTAAGATTGTAGTATTCGGTTAGGTAGAAAACGCGTTTCCTCGCTTCTCACTTTTTCCACTAGTCTAACCGTGGTCTTAACGAGAAGTAATTTTGTATTTGTATCTGCTGTTTATTGTACTAAATTTGCGCGCAAAGGTGTATAAACTCACTGTCCTAACAGCAACTACTTCAGTCCTATTATAAAAATGTCCTATGAAAAAAATAATACGCGCTTATAGGCGTGAACTATGGATTTATATTTGGATACTCACTAAAAGAAGTAAATTTTTTGAGAAAATGAAAATAAGTAGAGAAAATGTTCAAATTTAATGTTCATTGTCTAACAAGTGAAGGAACTTGAAAATGAAGGCAAAACGATAACATGGAGATTTCGTAAGGATTTCGTAATAATTTCAGAGACACAATCCCATGATTGCATTAAGTGGTTGCCCCCTTGAGGTTCAAACCCTGGCTGAGGTAATGTTCTTTGCAATAAAGAGTGAGAACAAGATCGACCCAATTTTTTTCGCCTTCGATTTGGGTCACAAAGTAGGTACCGAGCGAAGGGTCTCGTCAAGATGATCGCAGATATGTCAGTCTCAGAGCGTACCTATTTAACGTTCCAGAGATATCGGGCTCAAAAAATTCTCAGGACGCAAGCGATGAAGCCGTCTGGACAGACACCATTTGTTTGGAATGGAATGGAACTTCTGGAGCCCGATATCTCTGGAACGTTAAATAGGTACACTCTGAGACTGATATATCTGTAATCAGCTTGACGAGACCATTCGTTTGGTACCTACTTTGTGACTAAAATCGAATGCGAAAAAAATGAGGCCATTTGCCTATGGACACTTGTTCTCACTCTTTAAAGGTAAGAAATATTTAGACACTATCATCCTGTCACGGCTCTTTAGTCTTTATTCCTTCGAATTGGTGTTTACCACATGAGAGCCTTATGAATTTTATTAATTTGTTTATTAAATTAATTAATGCCATCTCCCGCGAGAAGAGACGTTGTGCAAGAGCTTTTGGACATTTAAAACAGTCTTTTTTTTCCTTTTAAGTGGCTACTTTTTGTAACGTAATTTTGCAACTGGGTTCCAATACGAAGGATCAATTTGACTCTGGCGTTTTGTCGAGGAAGCTGTACGTATTCCGATCGATTTGGCAAATTGAGATATGGCCCTCTGCCCCGGCAGCTCAATGCATTTCTGCGGGACAGAAATCTGGATAGCGCTCTGTAATTTCCGCAGCTTCAACTTGTACCTTAGGCAGTCAGAATCGAATAGAATCGTGCGGTCGCGCGGCAACGACCAAGTTCCCGTCCGTCGTTAGCAAACTCGCGGTAAATTCGGCAGTCCCGAAGCCTGTTTAAATCGTGAAATTATTGCCGCCGAAGGTCATCACCGGCTCCGAGGCAAATCGGATTGCAGCCAAATACCCGACGCGGTTTCGAATCATATTATATCGAAGTCAGCCGGCGGTAATTAAAACTGTCCAAATGAAATCGTCCATGTGTGAATCTGGCCTCGCTTTCCTCACGGTGTTTTTAATTGGCGATTTCATCGCAGGTTTGTTACGCTATAATCGCCGTATATACGCGTCGTAATTTTATCGGAAATTTTTTTTCCCCTCCCACTTCTTGCATTCTAATCTATTTGCATTGCAACTTTCTACTTATTTATAAGCTTATTCGCTTGTAAAATGATTTACAAGCAAACTTTGTTGGCTCGAAATCTCCGAAGTTAAATGCCTTTACCTCAATCCTTTCGTTACGAAAATACGAAATGTTTAGTTACTTACCCGGAGAACTTCTTAAGTGTGTACTTCTTAAGTTTTACCCAAGTAGAAAATTTCAGTATTGGAAGCTCTCGTCCTTAAGCAAGTACAACAACTAATTTATAGTCTGCTTATAACTTTATTTTTACGAGACAACTTGAAAGTAACCGTATCTACTTTTCCGTCACGCGAGCGAGGAGTTCGTTGCATTACCGCATTAGAGAAGCTGGTTCGTTTCAAACCGATCAAAGTAGTCTTTGCCTCTCCTCGTGTATTCAACGTGTGACAATTAATATTTCGAATTATCGCGAAAGTTCCTGCAATCATCGTCGTCGGAATCGATTCCAGGCTCGCTCTCGGGGCCAAGAGTCTCGCGCGCACGCACAAAAGACATTGTTAAATCTAGCTCATTACTTCACTCCCGCGTTTCCGACGCCACGCGCCGGCCGGCGATAACAATAACGCGGAGCGCTGTTAAACCGTGCACGCATTTCCAGCACCCGGAGCGCCTCTACTGATCCCCGAAGAGTGTAGCGCCGAGAACAACAGCGTCACCGTTGCCTGGCAGCCGCCACCTGGCCACGGGATCATGGGCTGCACTAGTCAGAGGGGCCCCGCTATCGAGGGATACCTCTTGGAGCTGGACGACGGCTGCGGCGGAGAGTTCAGGGTGAGTAAACACAACCCAACCCTCCCTCCCGTGTATCCCGAAGAAATTGCGCTCACCCGTCGGCGGGGGAGACGCTGTCGCACGCTGGAGGCTCGGATCTCTCGAGGCTTTCTGGAGATCGCCCGCGAATTCCTCGATGACACTTCACTCGTCCGACCCTCCATCGTTCTCGTTTCTTTGCCGACGCGACGTCCGGTTCCGGTGTTTCTTCGCCGCGTCCTCCTCCGGCCGGTATCATCCCGCGACGACGGGCGATACGACTTTGCCCAACAATGGGACACTTCGACGTTCTCACGACGTCTTCCCGTGGAATTGTTCTCCAATCCCGGCGCGGACGAGATGACACCGAGAAAGAGACCCGCGCCGGCATTAAATAACATTCGACGTCTGCTATTTCTCCCACGGAAATCTTGGCAGGGACGCGTCAATTTTCTCATACGCCGGTAAATATTTTTTCTCGGGTGTCTCACAACTTCCCTCTCGCACGCGATTCCTTTTAAAAGCAGACTGGAGGGACAGAGATTATCTAAACGGGTAAGACTTTATTCTGCTTTAAAAAGGGATCGAATTAAAGAGAGAAGTTACGATACTTGAACAAAATATTTACTGATAACGTTAGATGAAGGGTAACACGATTGAATGCGACGCTTTTGATACGAAATGTTATTGAAGGTGTGAATTAGTGATACTAATTTCGTTGGACGTGAGGTGAACTGTCCGTCAGTTTCGCTCTCGAAAAGTTAAGACGAGGTTTCCTCGCGCTCGGCTAAAGGGAGTTACTCGTAGTAAAAATAGTAAAAAAGGGGGGGGACGAGTTGCCACGAACGTGGCAGGAAACTCTAAAAGATTCCTTGTGTATGTTGAACTAAACGTGACAGTGTAACCTCGAGGGAAAGGAGATGTAACTTTGTCTGTGAAATGCATTCGTTAAAATTCTACAGCAGTGTACCTTCTTGTCGGCGATTTTTTCGATTTTTAGTTAGATTTCGTATTTGCACATGTGCAGAATTGGCTACCGGGAATCCCCTCTGGAGACTGAAAATACCCACTTGATCTGCCTGATTTAACAACCATTACTTTCATTCACCGAGAGGGATTTAAATATATTTTTTTAACTTTCCGACGTTATCATTTTAAGTACAGTGCCGGCCAAAATTACATCACCTTTTGGTTTTTTGAGCACGGCCAGTTTTTAAGTGCACGAATAAAAAGTTCGAAAATCATCGGTGTATCTTGTCAAATTTCATTATCCTTTGTGTATACGAGACGCACCTGTTATCAGGCGTCTACTGTGAAATTTTGCGCACATTCGATGCGCTTTAACGAGAGCTCGGAGAACCTAACGGCGATATGTCATTTTGACCGGTACTGTACTTTGTTACCATTTCTGGATTATGATATATACACGAGAATAGCCACACGTGCACGGCATCATCGCTCAGCTTTATTTCAAATTTCATTGCTCCACAATTTTCGTCCCATATAACAATATACATATATGACACACGTAGCGGCATGAAAACGAATCTTATATGCGGACCGATTCCTGGATACGAGCGTTTAATAAAACCGCGCGGGGACGAGGCGTATGAAATCCGCCTTTCAATTTGCCAAAGGATAATACCGGTCATCGGCGTGACATCGAAGCGCAAAGGGGATCAGGAGAAACGTCAGGATCATAAAACCCCTCTTTTGTTGGGAATTTGTTCCTGCGTGCCGCGAAATGAATATTGATGCCGATCGTCCGTGAAGTTTATTTTTTGTAGAGATTTTTTTTTTTTACGGTACGGTAGTACCGGGTACGAATCGTTCGCGCGCGAATACCGGCCCTTCGCAAAGGGTCGGCTACGTATCCATTCGGGGCGCGTTTCCGGATCGGCGAGGTCGTTCGTCGCATTTATTTTCGGTCTCCACTCGGCCGGACTCGAAACGCCGTCTTTCGCGTTTTATTGATCGTAAACGCGGGTGGCAGCGGGCGCCCTGAAACGCGATTACGGCCAATAATTCAGCCTAAGTAACGCGCGTGAGCCGCGACATAAAAGTCGGGATTAAAAGGAGCTTCCTCGTGGAGCAAATTCGTGGCGCGAGTTTGAAAAATTTGGAGATTAACGCGCCGAATGAAGGCAGTTAAACGCGCTACATTAATCCACTTGCGGGGCGTCCCGAATGGGCGACATCTCTAATTGTCGCGTAAGGAAATTGTAGTTTATAAGAATTTAAATCGAGCTTTTTTAAACCGGCACGTCGCGCGTGAATGAAGAAACGATTTGTGCACTAGGATTCTCCCTCCGGTAAATGAAGATTCGGTATTGAGAGCGTTAATTGAAGTCCATAACTCGAAGATTCCGGGCTTACAGTGAGAAACGAGCGATCCTCTCGGGCGATGGCAATTATTAATTGCTCCCGGCGATATCGTCCCGTTCATTAGAAGTTTTTATCAAATGACGGCAGTTCGAACCGTCGTTTGCCACATAATCCACGATATTAATGTGAGGCAATTTACCGACGGTCGTAGAGTATCATAGGGTTTTGTCTTTCGCCGGCGTAAGAGGAAATAAAATTGCGCGCGAAGTGAACGAGAGAACGATATCGTAAAGCTAGCACTCTCGCATGGAATTACTTTAATATCGTTGGATATTTTAATTCTTTCAAATATTTGTGCGCCACCTGACGATATACGTCCGAAAAAAAAACCCGGCGCGCAGGACAAAGGTGGAAAGAAACGGTATATGAATTCACATTTTAATAAATTACAAGTATAGGCTACCTACATCCTACCTTAGACCCGCATTAGCCGTTTTCTATATGTTGTTTAGTTTTATTGAGGGCCCTACTTTAACTCTATTGTTTTAGAAAATAGTTTTTGGATTTCGTATCATCTAAGATTTTAGTCGAGAAAAATTGTGTATCGCCGCATTAATCGACGTTTTAAATCTCAAGACGAATTTTTCATGTATCGGTCCCCCTTTCAGCTGAATACAGTTGATCTTTAATCAAAATGTAACTATTGAACCGTCTGTATCTCAAGACATAAAACTCCAACCTGAGTGTCTCACCTGACGCACTCCTGAGACGAGAATTGAGAAACGACTATAAATACGGGCCTAAATCCTTTTTTCTGGGTGTAGTTTTATCACGAGATTGTATCAATCCTTGTCTTTCATGAAGATTTCACCCTCAAAATGGCTGGAGGAACGTAATGCTAAATCCGCAGTAAAATCAACGAGAGTAACGCGTGTATCGCCATCGCCGCGTATGAATTCCCGCTCGCGCAAACGTGCCTCGGGTCGGTCTTGTAAATCGCGCGTCTAAATTTTCATGCTTTGTTAATAATGCACGCGGCGCGGCGGCATTGCGATATGGCGCTCGTTAACGAACGGAGCGATACCGCGAATATAAATCGTCCTCGTTGCCGACGCTCTCCTCGTCCTTTCTGCCGCCCTCCCCCCTCGCCCGACCTATCGCCAGTCCTCTTGGCGGCCATCGGGATAGCACGGTCCATCCTCCTCCTTTTAATATTTAAATCGGGCTCGTTCGCGCGGCACGATGCCTCGGGCTTCCCGGTTTCTGGTTTCCGTTTCCGCGCTGTCGCTCTTCGTGCTCGCAGCAGCGGGAATCGCGAAGGCTCCTTTGACGAATAAGGATCGGGTTTGCCGGGAGAATCGCTAGTCCGGAATTAATCCCCCTTGTTCTGCCTGATTTTATTTAGAGGAAATGTAAAATGTGCAAAGATTTAATTTCTGACTCGTGTAACAAGAGGTACGAAACTTTTAGCAAACTTTACAAACGCTGGCAAACATTTTTCTATTACCTCACAAATAGATTTAATATCGCCAGTAATTTAAAATCGATGAAATATAGGTTTTTAAAACGACCTACACTGGCCAATGTTTTTATTTTTAACAAACGACGTTTCGGTCCCAGATTTGGACCCTTTTCGAGTAATCTGTTCACACAATTGTTAATGATCTCATATCGTTCGTTTGGCCAATATTGTTATGTTAGTGAGATATTAGTCAAAAAATGATTGCACTCTTTGGTTGAAGAGTGCAAAGTCAATTGAAGTTGCGTTGTTAATTGTTAAACACAAGTAAACGTATCGAGAGATGTGTGTTGGACGAGATATCAGATTGAACGGCAGTAAGATCAGTCTTGGTCTTACACCCCTCGACTCCGGACGTTAGTGAAATTATACGCTTAATACTGAACTCCGTTCCGCCAAAATGTGGTTTCAATTTCATTTGACAAAACTCCGCAACAAGGTAGGCCGACAATCATTCTGCGATACTGTACAATTCTTTTATACTGCTCACGTAATCTGTATGTAAAACATTTACTCTTAGATCTCGCTTGATAAGGACCTAAAACAAAGGTCGAATCGTTGTGAAAGCGTATTTAATAAATGTGGCCAGCTGAGGTTGATTGAAACTTGAAATTTTTTTTATGTTCAAGATCAATCGGCAGCCTCATTTTTTTATCAAGACACATGCATAATGAATAATAAAAATTGAATAAAATAATAAAGATAGTGACGTTGGAAGGGAAATGACTGCTAAAAGAAAGTTATTTATGTCGTATACTTCGTCGGCTTTCCGAAACTTTTATACCGGTATTAAATCTAATAACGTATCTCGTGCTTGCTTATCTGTCGGTCGACCAATCGATGTTATCTTGACGGTTCTTTCAGGAAAGTCGACATGACAGGTAAACTCCGCTCCTTATCCACAATTTTCGTTTATCCACCACTGAGACGAGCAACGTCAATACTCGCTCGCCACAGGGAACGAGAATTTTCGAGTCAAGTTGGACACTTCAATTTGTTTTAGTCACTACTCGATATACGGAAAACGTTGGAGTCTTTTTCCACGTTTCTATTTTTAGGGATTCTCAATTTATCGTTTTATTCTGTTAAGCAGCAATTTTGTAAATTATTGCGTTTTACACGGTCATTCGTTTGTGCATAGAAAGAATCCCATTATTGCGGTATAGAAGTAGCGATGCAATCTTTATAAAATTCTCTTATTTTTATAAAATTTTACACTGTCGAGTATTTCCTGAAAAGCGAAAATTCGGAAAAGCAAAGCATTCCTCGTCTTAATACAGAGTCTATTTTCGCGGAAGTGATTTTCTCCCTTGGTTAATAGAATAGAACTTATCCGGCTACAATTGCAAGCCGCAAATTCACTGGATGTCCCGTTTGAAATCTGATTCGCAGGAGGTGTACTGTGGCCGCGAGACCATTTGCACGGTAGACGGGCTGCACTTCAACTCGCTCTACAACGCCAGGGTGCGGGCCTTTAACAGCGCTGGCGAGGGCGAGTACTCGGAGCTGATCGGCCTTCAGACCGCCGAGGGTGAGAGCTTTCTCCTTTTTTTCTTTACGGCTTTCCGAGCGAGGCGCGCGGAGGCCTCGGCTGGAAAATCGGCGTCGGTGTCGCGTGGAAGACGAACGATCGTAAGCGACGTCGATTTTCCAGCTACGCGCATTTTTTTTTCCGCGGCACGATCGCGTGATCGATGAGATGGACGGTGGAAATGGCCGCGGTAGAATGCCCATCCGTGTGGCGTTTGCGGAATAATGCGGGCGACAATTACAAATGACTCCGAGGAGACGCGTCTACCTCTGCGTCAGTTCCGGAGAGGAAGTGGATCTTCCAAAAATGTTTCATTATCGCTATATAATTCTACTGCGGAAATGCTTAAATTATTCAGCACCGCGGCGAATTAAATGTTCTACCTTCGTCGCTTGGAATCGTGAATCGACTAATAGATTCGACAGATCGAGTTACTCGTAATCTAATCTAAAATCTCCGCTGCTTACATCCAATGGACCAATTTTTCATGCTGAATTTTCATCTCTTATTTATATCCTTTCGGATTTTTCTAAATGTGACATTTAATATGCGAAGATTGCGAGGGAAAAATTCTTTGTACTCGCGTAACCTGATACTCGTCGGGCGGTGGTTCAACGGTGACAATAGCGTCGTGTGAGAAATTCCATGTCAAAGTTTTAAATTATTTAACGCGCCGCGAAGGATGAAACATGCCTTCTTTTTGCATTTCAGTTTCCGCGAGTCACGTCGACTCGCCGTATCAAATTCTTATAAATTATTTAGCCGCACAGAAAATCAGATCCCCCATTCTCCTTCCCATATTAAGATTCCACAATCCTGTCACGTCGTTATTAACATCGAGCGGCGGCGGCGGCGGCGACGGCGGTGGCGGCGACGTCGAATTCCCAATAACCCGGCACTCGATAACCCAACGCTCGTGCCTGAACGTGTAGTTCGTTAAGCGTGCTTGCGGATCCGAGTCCGCGGAATATTAATCGATGGTGTACAGCGAGGCGTATCCTCTCTTGGTCTCGCAGTGGCGTGGTTTTCGTGGGCCACCGGCGCGGCCGGCATACCGCAGGAGGTGTCCGTATCCGAGGACGCGATGAGCGCGTCCTGCGAGGGCTACGAGCACCGCGTGGTCCTCTCGAGCGTGGGCTTCTCGCGGGGCGTGCACTACTGGGAGCTGACCATAGATCGATACCACAGTGACACCGATCCGGCCTTCGGTATCGCCCGGGCTGACGTGTCGCGCGATCAGATGCTGGGTAAGTCCACCAGGCCCTCTCTTTGCCTCTTGTTCTTCTCCGCGGAAAATATCGTGCGGTTTATCCGGTCCCGATGAAATATTCATGCGCCACCCGGTGTACACCCCGGAGATCCCTGGTTTGTTCGGAAATTCGGCGGCGAGAGACGTATGTATCGTATTTCTCTCTCTCGCCCTCCCGCCTTTTTCTCTCCGGCTATCTATCTATTTTTATCTCTGCTTTCTGGTTTTCTTTTCTCCGTCTCTTTGCCTTTGTCTCTATATGTCGCCCCGGATGGGAGAAAACGACGGTTAAGAGATTCGGCCGAGATCGCAAAGTGCGCGACATACTGGAAGAGGAGGGTGCTTTGATTCTTGGACACATGGAAACCGGGCCAATGCTCTTCGAACTGATGAAATCCGAAAATCGATCGCGTCCCGCCTAATAAGCACTACGGAAATTTGTCACGTGTTGTTTTTTCTTCTTGCAAACGTTTCATAATATTCTCTGCGTTAACTCGCGCTAATTCGCTCAGAAATAACCGAATCGTTTCACCTGTCCTAATTATTTCAAACGAGTAGAAAAGTACACTAGTGCATGTACATACACCCAGAAGAAAGTATGTTTGAAACGAAATAAATTCATTGTTTGAATTTGACCGCACTAGACTTTTATTTCATTTCAAAGAATTGATTTCTTTACTTTAACCAAAATTTTATTCGATTGAGACTGGAATTTCTAGGAGAATTCATATCTATTTCTCCAAATCTAGCAAATGCTTTAGCAGAAGTAAATAAAAATTTAGTAGATTCGAAGAAATATGATTTCAACGTATCTCATTTGTTCAACCTAACTACCTACATCTTTTTTCTGGGAGTAAAAGATCGCTTTCGCTATTACTTGGCATCAATTCTGTATCTACAATATAGTGAAAATGCTAAACACGAGCGGCTTTATTTCTTTCTAAGGAGACAGTTAGAAAGGGACGAAGCTGCACACTTTTGGTTCATCTTCACTATAGTGCAAGATACAGAATTGACCCCCTGTTGCCGCTATTAATGAAGTGTTAAATATTCCTAGCGTTACGCAATTAATTTCTGACATTTTTAACGTTAATCACCGTAAAGTCATTTACGTGGCATGCAATCCGAAATGAGCTTCAGTTAGACTATTCGCTCCGAGGGGGATTCAACAACCTCGCGTGCAACCTTGCGAATCGTTTTGCTCGCAGGTAAGGACGACAAAGGCTGGAGCATGTACATAGACCGGCAGCGGTCGTGGTTCATGCACGGAGGCGGTCACGCGCAACGCACGGAGGGTGGCGTACAGCAAGGCTCGACCGTCGGCGTCCTCCTCGACCTGGACACCACGCACACGCTGCGCTTCTTCGTCAACGATCAGCCGCAGGGCGGCATCGCCTTCCGCGATCTCTACGGCGTCTTCTATCCGGCGATCAGTCTGAACCGCGGCGTAACTGTAACCCTACACACCGCTCTCGACGTGCCGCGCCATCTCCTCGCGCTTCACGAGGAGTACGTTAGCGATATGATTCAAAGCTAGGGGTACCTTAACGTCCTCAAGAAAGGTCTGCCGCAGGAGATCGGCTCGCCTTTAGGCCCGACAATGTGCGCCACGGACAGGTGCAGGGACTTTGAGTCGGGCCAGCTGTTAGAGAAGATCGTCGAAGAGAGCCCGGTCGACGTTAACTGATTGGTAGATTCTTTTCAATACGTTTACAGCGCTCGTAATCCTTTTTTTGTTCTATCGTTTCTGCTTGGCACAAAGCGTTATGAAATAACGTGCGTGAAAGCGTCTGAAATCGCTCCGCGATGTCGTAACGTTAACGAGGACACTTTGGTCCTTTCAATATTGTGCGGCGAAACGAGAGCGGTTTGATCTCTTCAGGGACTCGGTAGACGCGGTATTGTTTTCCCGAATATTTTGCTGTTTATGTAGAAGTACATATTTTTGCGGAGTATTTTTCACGCAATTGTAGCATTCGATATAAATAAGAGCGACTCTTTTTATTTATAATTGAGAAATACACGATCCCTGGGGATGTTAATCCGGGCAGAATTCGCCTCGCGCCGTTTGTCTAAATATAAGCGGGCTCCACGAGGAATAACGATTCAACAGGTCCAGAAACTTTGGCGAGAAGGTTTCCGAGGGAGGCGCTAACCGTGGACCCTTTTGAATCCGCCTTGTTTGAGAAACTGAAACTTAGAATCCAGACTCTAGTTAGGAAGATCGAGATTTATACTTTCCTATCTCGTCCGCGCGATCGATTAATCGTGCGGAAACGAAGCCACCAATAACCGTCAATCGAGGGGCGTTTCGAAACACGGAACGCGGCGTAAAATCACTCTCGAGGAGTGAGAAAAGGTTACTCTATCCCGAAGAATTAACGAGACTGACATAACTCACGCACACGTCACGCGATCTATAAATAATATCTCCCATAGGGAAACAGGAGGCCGCGAAAGCTAAGATAAAACTCCCTCCGCTGGAACTCAGTCCATTTTCTATTTATACCGCACTTTATATTAAAAACGGAGAAAAGAACATATTTTTTCCTACACTTCGTAAATTCGTCTCTCGAAGAATTACCTCGGCGAAAACTCAACGCGCCCCCGAGGGTCGGTGCCTGCGACCTTCGGTCAATTGACTTGAGTTTCCTGTCCACGCTACAGCCATGATCCAGAAAGAGGCGTGGGCGAAAATTAACCGAACACTTAACCGAAGGTGGAACGACCGGCCCTCGGAAGCAAGGAGACGTCCATTAGCAAAGAGCCAAGTATCGTCGCCGGCAAACTTTGTTCGAGACCGTGTCCGAGTAGAAGCGATCAATCGGTTGGCTCGAGAGATCGAGTCGAGGAATAAGAGAGGGGTCTCTTCCAGGAATTCATCGCTCGATAGAGAGAGCGATGCGGGAAATAGTGTCTCGTCCGATGGCAACCTTTCTCGATATCCTCGACGGGGCAGTGGTTCTTGATAACTTCTCACTTCGGAGAAGGTAGAGTCGGGGTGCGCAAAGAGGGACATACGGCGTCGGGGAGGACCTCGAGTAGCCGTCCCTTTCGCCGCGGCGTGTCCCGGATAGCCAGCAAAGAAAGTCGACGATCAGTCCCACCGGGCGGCATTCCAGTTTCCGTCGGTCGTGTAATTAACTCTTTCAGCACCTGCCGCCGTCCGGCGTGCGTCCACCTTGAATGATCCGTTAAGGAACGCGGCAGGGACCTCGCCTTAATTAAGGTAAGACGTTGGAAAGTTTCCGAGTATCTTTACATCTCTTTACAATGCGATAATTTGATGGTAATTTCCGCGATAGGGAAATTATATCGTTTATTCGCGAGACATGCCTCTTTCGCGGTAAAGATGCGTGAAAAATTTCTACAACCAACGGCTCTTGGCAAGTACTCGTAGTGAGACGCGCTTTGTCCGTCCCGCCGAATGAGATTGATCGAAACGGGAGTTAGCAGTTCGATTCGGCTCGGTGCTGAAGCGGTTAATGACCGTGCGAAATCGCGAAAGCGCTTCCGATCGAACGCTGACGAGGCGCGATCGACGACGAGGAGACGGAGGATCGACCGCGGTGAGGCCGACAATTATCCTACGGGACGAGGGACGAAACCCCCCCGCTGACGGACTCTTCTCGTCCAGCTCGCGCGATCGACGGATCGCTCGATCCTCCACCCATTATCCATATCGACGCACGTATAAGTGTAATCGCGTTGTAGGCGTTAAGGCTCCATTAAAACGTATAGACAGGTAAGGCGTATAAAACAATGCTGCCGCGGCTTTAGTGTACAATAAACGAGTATACGTTTTCTAGTCTTCGATAGAGACCCAATCGACACGTCTTTCCGTTCGCCAACCTCACCCCGTCGTTTCCTCCCTCCTCCACCTCCATCCCGCTGGTTCTTTTTTTACGACTTTGTATCTCTCGACGGCCAGGAGTCACAGGACGCCCCCGTGCTCGGTTTCTCGCCGTTATATCCCGACGTAACGATAATCCGGAAGCATTATTTCCGCCCCGGGTATCGGCCCTGCGAGCACGGGCGGCGCGCGCGCGCGCGCTGCGCCTTTCGGCGCACATGTACATAAGTGTATATATACATATAACTATACCGATTGTATACCGCCGATGATTGCCGATTGTACCATTTACGACTGTATCGGATCAATAAAACGCAACGAAAACGCCCGCACGACGTGCCATACTCGTGTAACCCCTCGATTCTCCCCCTTCGACTCGCGCTTCCCTCCCGGCGGTGGATCAAGGCACTTGGGGGACTCTCCGCGGAATATCGGAGCAAGTGCCGGACCGAAAAGATCCTGTGGCAAACGTTAAACATCCTTTTTCGCTTAATGCTACGTATTATTGGTACTCGTGACATTAGCTGCGCTCGGCGTTGCTAATCCGAGGCGTCGGAGTGCTCTTTCGCGTTCGAGTGAGCGAGAGAGGAGAATGAGATAGACAGGGAGGAGGAGCACTCCGACGCGTCGCGTTTGCAATCCCGAACGCAGCTATTGTAATGCCCACATTTGACGTGGGGTTTATTCGTGAAATATGCGTACCTCGCGCTTCGAGATCTCGAGAGAAGTCGGGAAGACTCGCGAATCGACGCCCCCGTGCGTTAATCCACCACTGTTCTCCAGCCGCTTTCCCTCCCCCCCATCTTCTCCGCCGTTTTTCATTCATTTGATCCGAAACTTTCGCAACACCTCTTCAGGAAGTTCCCTCGCCGGTTTCGCTGGCTCCCGCAAATTGCGACGAGTGGCCGAACGGCGGAGGAAAAGACCGTCGGGGAGCGCAGTGCGTAGTCTGGAGGGATGAAAGGGAAAAAAAGGAGGCGAAGGGCGGCGAGCGGTCCGGGGAGAAAGAGTGCCCCGCTCGGCGAAGAAAGCACTAACGCGGTCTGGGCGGGCCCCTTTAACGAATGCAATTAGCTGTCGCGGCTATGGCTGCGGCACGGGATCATTTTTCCCCTTCGGGCGTTATTTTATATCGCCTGTGCCGTAAGTTCGTTCAAGCACGGCGCTTGATTCGATTCGGAGATTGGAGGAAGGACGAAGTCGCGCGACCGCGCTTATGGGCTAATCGATTTTTGTCTCTTTTTTTTTCCAGCCTGCCAGTTTCGTACAGGATGTAGCCAGTCCTTTTGTCGCCGATGGCGTTTTCCTGTTTAGATCAAGACCGCGAACGAGACTCCTGAGAGATGTGTTCTAACATTCTTGTAAAATGGTATCATTTATTTTGTATAATGGTTTAATATTATGGCGTAACGCCTTGAAAATCGGTGCAGGTATAGGCAGATGAAAATAGGATACAGTTCAGGCTTTACGGAAATTATTCGACGACGACAGATGGTTATCTAAATTGCGAAACGTTACGAGATACTTTTTGTCAAGGGGCTAACCACTAGCTAAGATGTTGTCCCACCGATTACACGATTTTATTTCATACGAATTCATCCGATTACAAATAATCTCATCTAATTGCAAATAATTTTCTTATATGCACGTTTAAAAATATGTAACGTTGTTAAACCTCAAAGAGTTGTTAGATTTCCCCAAAATATATTTTTCTTATTTTACTAAGTAGTATTTTCTTGTAGAGGTAATTTCAGTTAAGATTGCAGTATTCGGTCACGTATTTCCTTGCTTCCAACTTTTATCACTAGTCTAACCGTGGTTTTAACGAAAAGTAACTTTGTATTTAAATTTACTGTTTATTGTTCCGAATTTGCGCGCAAAGGTGTATCAACGTTTTAACTCGCTGTTGTTCTAATAGCAACTACTTCAGTCTTATTTTGAAAAGAATACGCGCTTATTGGTGTGAACTATGATATATATTTGGATATTTACTAAAAGAAGTAAATTTTTTTGGAAAATAAAGACAAGCTGAGAAAAGGTTCAAATTTAATGTTTATTGTCTAGCAAGTGAAGAAACTTGAACATTAAGACAATTACACCGGGATTTCGTAAGGATTTTATAATGATTTCGGAGACACTGTCCCACGATTACATTAAGTGGTTACCCCCTTGCCTTTTGCCTTTGTGTCTTATCTTTCTTACTTCAAATTAGTCTTAAAAAGTATTTTTAGCTGTTTGGAGTTTGCTCGCGAACAGCGAAACCGCGTCAGGAAAGATAATTCCTGCTTATCTTTTTGCGCACCCATATAATCTTCAGAAAAGCGATAATATGAGAAAAAGTTAAGATCACATCGGTTTACGGCACGCAAAAAACATTATAAAAGTTGCTCAATGCCCTCCCGGGAAGTTCTTGTCCCCCACAAATTACAGCCGGCAGTGCTGTTGGGAAGAAAGATGGTCGTGGGTATAAGTTGGGGGGTTAAAGTAGAAAGAAAAAAGAAGCGTCGAATGTCGCGCGAAAGAAACTCCTCCGGAATATTGTTATTATTAGAATCGTTTGTTCCTAAGAGGTGAGAAGAAAAGACGGGTCCAATGTCGGTGTTTTTTTTACGAACACGATTAGCATAACTCGTCGTTATTCAATTATCTGTACAGAATATTTGGCAAAGAAGAAAGTTTCGGAACGTAATTCCTGAGCGAAGTTGAAGCGGCTCTTCGGAGAAATTTAGGCCAAGAGATCTATTATATTACGAAGTTTTATACAACTTTGAAAATTAAATAATATTTAATGAATTAAACTTTAAAGATGATAATGACTAGCGTTCCTCTATGGATAACTTTAAGAGCAATTTATTTTCAAAGGAATTTAGTTTCAAGCTTCAGCTTCAGCTCGAGGTTTTCAAGCAGCCGAGATGTTTAATGTTCAAAATTTATAAGTTACGCGAAGAATCGCACTTGACCGAGTTTATTCTAAAAGAAGTTTCCCAACTGATTAGGGAACGCACTTTTAAGGATTGCTACGAAATTTTAATTCCAAGTAATCCTCCGTGAAGATACTCGACGCAAGTCACGCCACAGAAAGATATCGAGTTCTGGACTGGGGAACGGTAGGTAAGTCCATGTATTCTACTCGTTCGTTGACAATAATGCAACGGGGATTTCAGAAGTATGGAAGTTCTGCCTTTTTACTTCTGCTTTTTTTTTACGTTCCTCCTTTGAGAAAAGTATACCGCGGCTTATGCGAGCTTAAAAGTTAGCCTCGGAGAGAATTGGCGGCTACGCGTTGTAACAGCGCAGATTTGTGTAACGACGAAAAATCTTCTTATCCCGTTAGATAAAAGTATCCCGTTACACGTCGCCGACGCGTAAATTCGTGCTCTTCAAAATGTTCCGCACGGATTCAGAGGATTGTGTGAAATGCTAGTAAAATTTCAGCGCCTTATTATCTCTGCATCTCTCACTGCAGCGTAAGTTACATACACCGGGTTAAACTTTCCACCTTCGCGTCTAATTACAAAATCCCTTCGTATCATACAAAACTAATGAGGTGTCTACGGGCGCGGCGAAACAAGACTACCGTGTCGTACAAAGAACACTTGTAATTTCGACCTAGAGAGATGCTCTCCTTGCATTTTTCGCTGGTAAATAATCGGGCAAGAAAGACCTCGTACATACATTGCCACCTCTCGTAGCATTTTTTAAATGACCTCTTTTGAGAGAGAAGATGAAATATTTTTCAAATAATTTTCCTCCCTCAAGCTGCGGTTGCGCGTACGAATTCTCCGCTGTTTAACAAGACTCACTTGGTCTATTGTCACACTTTCTGCGGGTGGTAATCCAATGTGCCCGGCACAACGGCAACGACAATGGTAAAAACAAGGGAAACGCGCGTTTCCGCTCAGTTTTATTCGCGGTAGGCCGGCCGGAAGGGGGGGAAAAAAGGGTAGCCATCTGCCGGGACGTAGTAAATCCGGCGTTCTTTTTGGCGGTCCGTGTGCTATCTCTGGCTGGTAATGGCCCGAATTCTCGGGACGTGGAGCGCGGAAACGTGACGCTCGTTTCGATCCAGGACTACGAGGGCAAGGGCACGTCGTCTAACTCCCTGTTCGCGACCTGTTCCTCTCCCGCGCACGATCTCTTATTTATCCCCGCGAGATTAAGCAGGACTACCGGTCCGTGCGTGATCGTCGAAGCGTACGGAAGGGTCGCCTAATCGGGTAGCCGTGCGTACCCTCCATCGAGCCTATTAAAAAAGAAGGAGATGAAAAAGATGTGGAGAGAGCCTTTTGAGGGGTTCGTTAGACTTGTACCAAGGAACCTCCTAAAACGGCGGTTTTCTTCGATCAAGACCCCAGTCGATCTGAAGCGAGCAGAAGAAAGTGCGAGCGAGGTTTGGAAGAGTGCTATTAAGCGCAGTCGATATCATTTCTATATTTAATTATTTCGCGCACGACAACTACAATTACTACACTGAGAAAAATGACCGATTAAATATAATCGGATAATCCAATTACATAATAACAAACGGATATATCCAATTAAATTGCATATCCGATGAAAAATATGATCGGTTTTCCAATCAAATTTCATCGGTAACTGCATTTCATCGGATAAATTTCATCGGATGTATCCATAATTAAATCGGAACACGTAATCGGAAAAATTAACCATCGGAAACGCTATTTAATTGGTTTGTCCGATGAAAATTTTTCTCAGTGTACCATAGATTGCATAATCGTGTAGGAGGAATTGTATCGCCGTGGGGAGCAAACGGTTTACGCTAGTTTAAAATCTAGAGTGCGAATGTTCTCCTACGTATTTTATCCCGAGTTGGAAAGTATATACAAATGATGAAGCTCTCTAAAGGTCTGTGTCCACGATGCTAGTACTTGGTCCAAGTTCTAGTTTCGAGAAATGTGTAGCCAATCAACTTGCAGCTTTTGTGGAATAGCTTCAAGTTGATTGGCTATATACACATTTCTCGAAACTAGAATTTGGACCAGGTTCTAGCATCGTGGACACGGACCTTAAAAGAGAGACATTCAGTGGTGTTCTTATAATTGTAAATTAGCGGCTATTTACTGTTTTCAGTCATAATCCACTTTTACAGAGATAATACGAGACATTTTAGTAGCTATTGTATTTTAATGTATTTTGAGTCTAAATTATTATTAATCAGCGGGGGTTTTTCTCCTCTCCGCTTTTTTTTCACGCAAAGCCGCAGCTTTAACTATTTTAGTCATCGCCGCGCAGACTTTAGAGCTCGTAACTGAGTTCGCAAGGAATCTCGCAATAATTCAGCATTACGCTCATAAATATGTACCTGGGCGGT